ACGAAACCGAGGAATGCTCTGACGTCCTTGACGTTTTTTGGTGTAGGCCATTCCCTGATGGCTGCCACTTTGGATTTTTCCATCCTGATTTCTCCTGGGGTGATCGTATACCCTAGGAAATCTACTTCCTGTGTGTGGAACTTGGCTTTTTCTGGTTCTACTAACAGTTCGTGCTGGTGTAGTCGTGTGAGGACCTGGTGGACGTGTCCCTTGTGCTCTTCCATCGTCTTCGAGAAAATCAGAATGTCATCGAGGTACACTACCACGAAGACGTCCAGGAATTCTCGCAGTACATCGTTGATCATGTTTTGGAAGGTTGCGGGGGCGTTGGTCAATCCGAATGGCATGACCAAATACTCGTAGTGTCCTCGTCGTGTTCGGAATGCTGTTTTCCATTCTTCTCCATCCTTGATGCGGATGAGGTTGTATGCTCCTTTGAGATCGAGCGCTGTGAACCAATTGGCTCCTGCTAATGCGTCCCTGAGTTCTGATATCAGAGGCAATGGGTAGCAGTTCTTGATGGTAATGTCGTTCAACTGTCTGTAGTCGACGCATAGTCTTTCCTTGCCATTCTTCTTTGGCACAAAGAGAATCGGGTATCCTGCTGGGGATGTCGATGGTCGGATGTATCCTTTTCTGAGGTTCTCCTTGAGATACTCGTCGAGAGTATCCATCTGTCGAGGGTTTAATCCGTAGATCTTGTTAAATCGGGGGCTCTCCCCTTCCTTGATTGGGATTTCGTGGTCGTAGTGTGTGTGCTTAGGTAGCACCGTGTCGACTTCTTCCCTGAAGATCTTTTCGTACTTCCAGTATTCCTTGGGTACGTTCTGCAGTCTTTCTTGCTGTTCTGTTGTGAGCTCCTCCGGGGTTGTCTCCTCTGAGTTGTCCCTATTCGTGAGGGCTAGTTGGAGGTCGCTTGAGAGACCGCTCGTGGGTCTTTCCTCAGGGGCTGACGTACTCCACTGGACGCGGCCAGCTGTCCAGTCAATCTGAGGGTTCCATTCTCTGAGCCATGGGATGCCTAGGATGATTTGTTTTCCTCCCATGTTGTGATGTCGAAGGTTATGTGGCCGGGTCGGCGAGAAATGAATACCTGGAGGGGCGCAGTCTCCGTATTCACGATTCCTCCTCCGTACGAGACCGCTTGTCCCTCCACCGTGCTGAGCTGATAGG